CCACCATTTTCCAATCTTATACTTCCAAAACCATTCAAGACTTAAAAGGTTAAAACTACACTTTCCTTTCAAAAACTACCATCATCACAAAACTTTGTTGTCTTCAACCAAGACTACTTCAAATTTTACAAACTTATTTTGAACTTAATCGTTGTTAGATATAGTTAGAAATTTTCATTTTTTTCCCAAATTGACACTATGTTATGATAAAAAAACTTTAAATTTCATGTCTTACATCATACCAATATTGATACAAGTACCACAAACAAAGTTGAATTTAGAATCACCCTTCCATAAAGAATACCCATGCGTAAATCCCTAAGATGTCATCAACATGATCTCAGACCCATTGTGACATTTGAGTTTTGATGACCTCTCTCTCATGTAATCAACCAAAAATAACCCTTAAAACAACAAAAACATCAAGAATTAACAATTTCATGTTAGATATCGTCTCCATATACGTTCACACAAAATGAGTTACAGAACACCTTTGAAAATAAGTGTTTGCTTGTAAGTGAGGATGTTGGTGAGGGGTTAAAAGAGAGAATTGAGGTCTTTGCTAGTGGAGTCAAGAAAGAGGTCGATTAGTATGGATCATCCACTAAACTTGATAGTCATGGTGATTCAACTCCCAGTATTGGTAAAGTCACATTTCCCTTTCACCATTTTTTTCAGTTTTTTTTCCCACAATCTATGGAAGAGACACACTACATAAGTTAAGGGAAAATAAGTTACATTAATTATTATAGAGACACACTAAAATCAGGATTATTTACAATAACTACTGGGTTAATTTGGAGTTATGCTCCTTTGCCTCTTTAACTTTTGTACTCGACGTAATGGAGAAAGTGCTAAGAGTGTGATTAATAACAAACTCTTGACCTTACATGTAATCAATTACACTTTCAGGTGTGAGTCATAGAATACCTTTGAAGATGAGTGTTTGCCCGTAAGTGAGGATTTTGGTGAGGGTTTAAAAGAGAGAACTGAGGTTTTTGATAGTGGAGTCAATAAAGAGGTTGATTAGTATGGATCATCCACTAAACTTGATAATCATGGTGATTCAACTTCCAGTATTAGTAAAGTCACATTTGCTTTCACAATTTTTTCAAAAATATGTTACATTAATTATTATAGAGACACACTAAAATCAGAATTATTTACAATTATTATAGGGTTAATTAAGAGTTATGCTCCTTTGCCTCTCTAACTTTTGTACTTGCAAATAATGGAGAAAGTGGTAAGAATGTGATTAATAACAAAGTCTTGACCTTACATGTAATCAATGACACTTTCAGGTGTATGAGGTTTATCTTTATTCATTAACATTTGGGGATTAAAATGGATTAATTACATTATTCAAAGATAAAAAGAGAAATTAAAAGTTTTTCAATTATAGTGAGTTTTTACAGTAGTATATAAAGTCACATTTCCCTTTCACAGTTTTTTCAATTTTTTTTTTATAATCTGTGGTAGAGACACACTACATAAGTTAAAGAAAAATAAGTTACATTAATTATTATAGAGGCACATTAAAATCAGAATTATTTACATTAACAATTGGGTTAATTAGGAGTTATGCTCTTTTGCCTCTCTAACTTTTGTACTTGACATAGTGGAGAAAGTCGTAAAAATGTGATTAATAACAAACCCCTGAGTTTACATGTAATCAATGACACTTTCAGATGTAGGAGGTTTATCTTTATTCATTCACATTTGGGGATTAAAATGGATTAATTACATTATTCAAGGATAAAAAGGGAAACTAAAAGTTTTTCAATTATAGTGATTTTTTAGAGTAGTATATATATATATATATATATATAAAGAGAGAGGGTCCTGAGAAGCATAAGGGGGACCATGGCCCCCTAGGCCTTGCTTTGGTTCTGTCATTGTCACTGGACACATTTATAAAGTTGGTCTGATATGTCAAACACCATTGTAATATGAACCTATTAAGGACATATTCATACTTATTATTTTCGTATCAATTACATATTAGATTAGTGAGTCGCGTTAAAAATTGTCGACCCTAATTTATACATACTAATGCTAGGACTAAGACATCAGAGTGGAAACTCAAAATTTCTGCTTTTATAACCCCATCACCATTACAACCTACAACCCATATCATGAGGAAAGATGGATAAGAAATGAAGGAAAGAGAAACAAAAAGCAATATTGAATTTGAATTCACAAATCATTATGCAAGGTCACTAGTAAAGGATCTCCATCCTCTGCTTCATTTTGCATGCCACTATACTCCTAAGTACCTAAAGGCTCTTTTTGTATTTGCCAAGATTTTTGTCTATTCTTTCCCTACGACCAAATTAGGCTAAATATTTGGGGTGCTTAATTGATGTTTAATGGAGGGTTTGGGTCTTCCATAACTTACCAATTAAATAAATACGTGGAGCTTCTCGTTTTTCACTTGATATATTTCTTGTTTCATTCTCTCAAGTCTTCTGGTGATATCCATGGCTACTAGAAGCTCTTTTTTGTTAACTTCTAAGTTCAGCCCCGTCTCTTTTTGCCAAATAGAGATTGAAAGAAGCTTCTATTTATACGTGTTAAAGGCCCAATGGATATCGCTTATTCTGGTGAGGGATTAAAGCCAAGGCCTTTTTTTCCTTCTATCGTGCCTATCTATGCATTTGACTAGACATGACTAATAAATGAATCGAGTATGAGTGAACTCAATTAAAAAAATATATAATACGACTCGTTTATATACTAGTTATCATAAATTCATACACGAACACAATATGTCACGATTCATTAGATATGAATTAATAAAAGAATTGAATATGGTTAAAATATTTTTTGATACGAACTCATCTCACCTGACGTGATTGGTAAGACATCATTCTTGTCTTAGTAGGCCAATACTTTTTTCCATGTTTAACCTTTTTCTTAATCTTTCTAAAAAATTTCAAGTCAATGGACCAGGCAATGGGCTTACATAGCAAGCCGCCTTTGCAGCCCGGGCTATTGAGACTCCACGTGACAGACTAGGCCAACCATGTTCAACTGAGTGGTTGGGCTTTCGGGCCATCTTGTGGGCCTTGGACTTTTTACCCAGGTGGAAGCTCAACTGCCCTCAGCAGATAAAACGTCATGTTGTGTTGAACCTTTTTAGTTATTTCGGTCAAAATTTACTTTAATCATTGTTTATTTATAATCGTACATAGTCACGTTCGTAGTGCGTGGAGTTCGTGCTATATATAAAACCATGTTTAAACCATATTTAACGATTTTAAGTCATGTTTAGTTGAGTTGATGAATATAACGAGTCTATTTATTCATCATCTTAAACCCGCTAAAGGGAAATATAAATCTACTATTTTTAATTTTAATTTCAGTCTTGTTTATTAATTTTGTCCAAAATTATTTAGAGCGGAGTAATTCTATGCATACAAAAAATTTTTTTTAATTATATTTTTTTAATTATACTAAGTCATTATGGATTGGAATAATTATAAATCTCACAATCTCCTCCAAAAATACCAACTCAACAAGATTACACAATTAGGACCTAAGTCCTACCCTGAATGGTTAGAGCCTTCTACAATGGAGTGGCAGGTTGATAGATCGAGTTTCTCTTCTTCTTTCCCTCCCTTTCTCCCCTGTAAAAAATACCGTTGTCTATTGAAAAAAAAACAAGATTACACAATTTTTGGAACATAAAGCTGGTTAACAAAATTTTACCCTTCTCTAAATCCACCTACTTTGTGAGAAGCCCACCGAAATTTGATAGGAATGGGAGTGTTATCGACTTTGGAAGGTCTTTGCTTTGTTGTCAGCCACAAAATGAGCAGACTGATAAAGAAAAATCTACTTGTCCTGATCAATAAATACAAGTCGTGAGAAGCCCACCGAAATTTGATAGGAATGGGAGTGTTATCGACTTTGGAAGGTCTTTGCTTTGTTGTCAGCCACAAAATGAGCAGACTGATAAAGAAAAATCTACTTGTCCTGATCAATAAATACAAGTCGTGAGAAGCCCACCGAAATTTGATAGGAATGGGAGTGTTATCGACTTTGGAAGGTCTTTGCTTTGTTGTCAGCCACAAAATGAGCAGACTGATAAAGAAAAATCTACTTGTCCTGATCAATAAATACAAGTCGTGAGAAGCCCACCGAAATTTGATAGGAATGGGAGTGTTATCGACTTTGGAAGGTCTTTGCTTTGTTGTCAGCCACAAAATGAGCAGACTGATAAAGAAAAATCTACTTGTCCTGATCAATAAATACAAGTCGTGAGAAGCCCACCGAAATTTGATAGGAATGGGAGTGTTATCGACTTTGGAAGGTCTTTGCTTTGTTGTCAGCCACAAAATGAGCAGACTGATAAAGAAAAATCTACTTGTCCTGATCAATAAATACAAGTCAGCCTGACACATGATCAAGTCAAGCATAGGACAGAGAAACCGGTCCAAGAGAAAATATGGGCTACTACAATTGCGGTCGTACTCGTCTGGACCATATGTTTCATTTAGTATGATTAATACGTCTTTGTCTGAGCCACTTATTTCAATTGGTCTGATTAATGCGATGTTGATATAGGAGGAGAGCCATATTTCCTGGGAAAAAAATATGACATCTTGCCAAAAAAAGAGAGCAGCTCAGTATTTGAAATAAGAAATAAGCAATTTCGTCTTATAGTTGTCAATGTCATATTACATTAAATTCACAATTTCATTTGGCACTAAAATTATATTATTTGTATCAATCGAGTCTCTAAACTATATTGTGTGCTAAATTAGCCTCTGAATTATTCAATCTGAGTCGATGTGGCCTTTCTATAAAATTTCACCGTTAATTTTGACAGAAACTCTCACGTTCGCATCACATGAGTCAAATATTAGTTTATAGTTTAGGAATCACGTGATGTGCACTTGAGGATTTCAATCAAAGTTAACGGTAAATTTGAACATAAGGGTTACATTGAGTCAAACACAAAAACATAATTAAAGGACTAAATTAACACAAATAATAGAATTCACGGGATTAAATGGATAGTTAACTCTATTTTAGTTTTTCATACAACTTTGGGAATAAAAGAGGGTCAAAAACTAACATACCCCTTGATCAGGGATTATTGGGAGGAGTAGATTAGATACAAACATAAACTTTGTCATTGTTTATACAAAATTATTACTTACAATTCAAATCCATAACCTCAGTGTAGATGGCTCAATTCCACAACTTCCATTAATAGAGTATATAAAGATGCTAAAACTTGTTGAACTCAAATTACATACTAGGATAAAAATATTCATTGTTTTCCCATACTATCTTAGGGTATATCTTATCTAACAATCCAAAATTAGTGGGAGTTTAGTCTCGCGTGCTCGACTATCTTTTTTATCGAGGGTATAGCTCAGTAATGGAAACTTCATTCACAGACAATTGCATTGACTTGGTTGTTGACTGATCAGACTCTAGCCCCTTTGTTAATGTACTTGTTGCAGTTCTGCTACGGAAGAAGAATGGAGGTGCTCGAGGCATCGGTAGGGTAGCAGAGTAGCTGCTGAGCATGAGCACCACAGAGCCCATGGTGGGCCTGTCATCTACTTCTTCTTGTACACACAATAAACCAATATGTATGCATCTAATGACTTCATTTCTTGAGTAAGAATCTGCCAGAATTGGATCCACCAACTCCAAGGGTGTCCCACCCCTCCAATGTTGCCAAGCCTACAAACATATTTTCATTGATGTTAACTATTTCGGAGTAATTCGCCATTGATTTTGACTTAAAAATAACGTGTTTTTTGGATATTGGGTTTACACTCACATAGCTCAGAAGGTCCTCAGCTCCGTCTGATTGATAGAAAGTATTATTTTTCTTGCCACTTATAATCTCCAGTACCAATACACCAAAACTAAACACGTCGGACTTCACAGAGAATTGTCCATGCATTGCATATTCTGGAGACATGTAACCACTACAAGCAAGAACCACATATTTATTTATATATTATATTGCTAATTTAATAACAAAAAATATAAAAGAAATATCTACTCCAAAAAAATTAATTATGCAACATGTTCTTTCTAAGGCTGCCAAAAAAGATGAAGGAGACCCGATAAACAAGAGATAGACCCATTTTTGCAACTAAATTATGAAGGTTCAATGATAACAATTCACTTAAAATTTGAATTAGTGTTCATATCTCTATAAGCAATCATATTGAAAGAAAAATTAGATATCTCGAGTTCGAAGCTTTACAACTTTTTGGGGCCAGGCCTTGGAGGAATTATTCCTCATCAATATTCTAGTTTTGGCGTGAATGACTTGCCATTTACCAGACTAGGGAGGATATTAGTCAATATATGTGTAAGCTAACTGAAACACCTCTCATAATTGAAAAAAACAAAACAAAATTAAAATCACCATAGAAGCTTTAAGTTGCAATTTTACTTACCAAAAAAAAAAGTTGCAATTTTGAAGAATCCAAATGACCTTTTTGTTTTCTATTTTTTTCTTGTAGCATTTGGATAATTGGGATGAAGCAATAGCTAATTGTTGATATAGATAAATTCTAAAGAAGAAGACTGAGTGTTGAGAAACATACTATGTTCCAACGATTCTGCTAGTATTTCCTTGAGATTGATCCACACCAAATGTTTTCGCCATGCCAAAATCTGAAATCTTTGGATTCATATCCCCATCTAATAGTACATTGCTAGCTTTGAGGTCGCGATGTATAATTCTAAGTCGAGAATCTTCGTGTAAATAAAGAATTCCCCGGGCGATCCCTCCTATAATATTGTAACGTTGTGACCAATCCAACTGTCCTTGCTTTTCCTGATCTATTTTCATAAAATTAAAACACAAGGAGCTAGATTTAAACGGGCAATGAAATAATTCAAGCAAAATAGATGGTGCAACTTTTTCAAAAACACTATATTTATCTAATGTTACAGCTACGAAGTTAAATTATCAACTTATAAAAATACAACAAAAGTCAAGATTTATCCAACATTCATCTACTTTGATTTAATGGTATAAAATTTATCTTAAAAAAATTTTCCCTCCCTAAATAATCAACTCATCAACTTCTCTGCACAACTCCCAATGCAAAACAACCCAATCAATACACTCCCCAAGTCAATCAAATCTATCAATCCATATCTACATCTCTCTTCGTTTTAATTTTATTTTGCGTAATTAAAAAAGTCAAATTATTATTTAAAATATAAATATTATAAGATCAGTTTGATCTTTAATATTGTATAGTGTTTATTACTAGTCTTGCAATACTCTTACCTCTTCAGCATTTGATCTTAATGCAATTTTTAGTGTTCTTAAGACTTTTATGGCATACTTTTCACAAGATTTGGGTGTTGAAGATGTCTCGAATTTTAAGTTCATCTTGTGAAGATTAGAGAAAGCATCAATCAAGAAGCTGAATTCAAAGGGTGTGTTTAGAGAGGGCCTAACCGAACAGAAACCAGTCAAGGCTATGGTTGGGAACATATTCATATATGAGCATCGTTTCCCCTCCTTCACGGCAGAACCCCAGAAGCCTTACAAGATTTCTATGTTGAAGTTTGGCCACCAAAACAACCTCGTTATTAAATTCTGCGGCACCTTGACTAGAGGTTTTGGATAGCCTCTTCACTGCTATTTCTTGTCCATCAGCAAGGATACCCTGCCATATGCAAATGGGAGTTAAAACTAATGAAAATATTCAAAAGAACAGTAGAGAAACACAAATTGACCCCAAACCCAAATAGTTGGGATGAAGGCTTTTGTGAGTTGAGTTAACTAAGTAAACTATGTTCATGCATTTATGTATCCCAACTTCTAGAGCTTTTGAAATCGTTGAATTAGTCAGATTTCTACCATAGTTAGATGCTTCTGACTACTTACCTTGTAGACCAGACCGAATCCGCCTTCACCTATCTTGTTATCAGAAGAGAAGTTGTTTGTGGCAACTTCAATTGTGCTCAGATCAAATTGTAAGGACTGCAATATTGTAATTTCATCCCCAACTACACAACCAGACAATAAAATTGTTGAAGTTTGTGAACGACACTACTGTAAAGGTAATAGCATGAAGCAATACAATTTGAGGATAAAATGATGTCTTTTATCCTTACCATTTTCTTCTTCTACAACATTGTACTTTCTCCTTCGTTTCCTACTTAGGAGGCAAAAACCTATGGCCAAAAGAACTAGAGACAGACCTACTGGGACTACAATGGCAATAATTATTTCTGATGAGAGTTTCCCTTTACCTGCAAATCAAAAATAGGTTACATTGACATACACAATAACAATTTGGTAATAACCATCAATAATAAATTGTCACATCGGCTTAATAGTTGCAGGTGAAAAACCATAGAGCAACTTTCATTTCACTTGACTCAACTCAACAAAATTTTATCTTGTCATGATTTCTCGAGTTGATAGATCCATGAATCAGGGTGATTTTCTCCCCAACCAAGGATCCCTTACTTCCCCATAAATTGAAAATTCATAACTCCAAGTGCTATGAGAATACCATTTAGTTGGTCCATGCCTCTGACAGTCTAACTATTAAGACCCAAAAAAAAATCAACAAATTAAAGCTTTATCCCAACCTTTTAGGGGATAAAATAACATGATATGCAATCTACTATATGTACCACGAAAGAAGAATTCTATAACATGTACTCGATAATTCACACATTTAGGCTTGTGCTTTGAAGTTTTACCTCGAGGGTTTGTCGAGGAAATTGGAAGAGGAGGAGCAGGAGGAGGCGTCGGTGAAGGTGATGGAGCTGTGGCTTTGATTTCATAGAATGGGTACGTCTCGTATCTAATATTACAACTTGGCTGCAAAACTCTCCCGCCTTTCTTTCCATTGCAACAGTTTGGCAGATCACCTATAGCCACTCGAAGACACCGATTACAATCAGTTGCGGATAAATCTGGTGTGCACTGCACTAGGCTGTATAGTCTCTGAAGTCTTGTAAAATTAACATCTTCAGTTGCAAACCTGTTGACATATTGATCATTTAAAGATCGATCGCTTGAAGCCCGATTTGCTAATTTATCCATAGTATCTCCTAGCAATTGTGCAAACCGATCAGGTTCTGTGATATTCTGCATATTCCACATATACACCTTAGGTGATTCATCCATTGTCCCGAAAAAAGACCTGTTATCATAACGTAGCATGCACTGATCATACCAAATATAGGCTACTTTCTCCTTGGGACATCTCTGGATTATCTCTTGACTGGCATTCAACACACAATCATGGCAGACATTAATGGTAACATCGCCTCGACAGAGAAACAGGCCATAAGCCGCACCTGGAGGACCACTTCCACCAGTTGTATTATAAAACAAGTTGTTGGGTGTATTGTTAGAAGAAAGATTAGAGAGGAGGAGATTGAGATTGGATTTAAAGGTGCTATTAGGATAGTAAATGGTTGTGTTAGAGCCACAAATATGATAGAGGTATTCTGGAGCAGCAGCTTCAGTACTTAGACTGAGCAACCAGAGGCTAGTAATTACTACCACTATGGCCTTGGAGACAATATCTTTGTAAGGAAACACCATGATGCCAACAATGAGAAAAAAAGTTATGAAATTGTTGTTTTTATATAACAAATTCTTGCCTTGGCTTCAGGGCAAACATAACCATCTCTATCAATAAAGTGGTTGTGCATTATTTCTTTCTAGTGTTCATATTTGAAGAATAGGGTAGTTTGACTTACACTTATCACGAGGAGGAAATTTCTTTGAGAAAGTCTTTATGAAATTTTCAAACAATGGAAAGAGCAATAGAATAGACAATTCTGTCACATAAATGCAGATAGCCAGTGGCCTGTTTGAGTTGGACCATGCTATGCCCAAGGGCTTATAGACTAGCTTCTCTCACTTGGCCAGTCCATGGTGGGTGCATTTCTTTGGTTGGATTGGGCCTAGGCCACCCTTATCTTTCCAATGATATGCAGCCTGAATCTTTCTTTGCCTCGAACCCCATACACCTATAATAATGGTAGAGTAAGGAATAGCATCAAAGCGAAATTGACCCGTGCTGGTCGATCAAAGCTCCTATAGGTAGTCAGTCCTTTCACATGGAATCATAAGTGGGGCTTTCGTATATATGGCACCATCCCGAGCTTCTGTCGTCAACCTTGTCATTAGGCCATTTTCTATTTCATGGGAGTAATATTGTCTTAATAGCCTAAGCCTTATTTTGAAAAAATATTATAAAAAATATTTGAATGTTTTTTACTAATGGCATTATGATTAGATTTATGGGTACCTATCTAGCCGAGAAAATACATATGTTATACGTGCTTTCTACCCTAAATAAATGTGTATATTCACCTTTTTCAGAAAATGCACATAAAACCAGAGTTTATTAAGGATCTTATGCCTCCCAAAACTTTTCTTCCCAAATCCTATGTTGTTTCAAACTCATTTCCCTAATCCAAGTACTTTTTGGGGAAAAAAGCACTCCAAATGACGTGTTCAGGATGCAAAATCCCTAGACCTCAAAGAAAAAAAAGTAATCTACAAACCATTGAAGTTAAGATCAAAAAATAAAAATCCTCAAAGTTTCGGAAGGCAATTCACTACAAATTCATGCTCTTATTTTGTTGAATTTGTAAATCCAAAAATAAAATTCGTCAATTAACTATTTAAACTATTACTTAAAGTTAGAAGCCCAGATGCTAACTTGGGCCATCCCAAATATTAAACTAACTTCTCCTATTCTGTACCCACATATCATTTGGTTTTCCAACTCAGAAAGCCAACTCTTGCTAATGAGAGCTACCACTCACCTCCACTTATAGGCAAGTGTTGGTGGGAAGTTTCCTTGCCTATCCGATGTGGGATCACCTCTCACACTAAAATATGCCTTTCAAATCTTTCTGATTTTTTTTTTTTAACAAGAAATGCTTTTTGATTTAAATTATTTATTGTATAAAAATTAGAATTTAGCTTTTTAATTATATATTTTTTTAATTTCCATATATGTAATTATGTATGTAAGAATAAACTATAAAGTTTTCAAGGCGTTCCCACTCTGTGATTTTTTTAAAATTTTCTGCTCTCGCGGTCTCACTCTTGCTCTATGTGACTTAAGGAGGATTCTTTTGGTCTTTGCTATATTTTTAAAACTATCAATTGAGTTGACGTTATTAAAAACACTTTCAAAAAAAGTATTTAGATTTAGGAAATGAGTTTAAAAATTAGGGGTGCAGCTTGGGCAGGGCAAGCCAACCTAAGCCCAATTCAAAGAAAAAAAAGCAGGGTTTAGATTGAGGTTTAAAATTAGCAAATTTGGATGCCGATTCCCCTTTATGGACTTATTTAGTGACAAGTCCATTAAGAAAACTGTTTAATATTCAATCCAGTTTGATTTTAATTTTTCAAAATACCCTCATTAGTTATATTAATTAAAACAAATTTAGAAACTAAAAACTCCTATGTTTTTAGAGTTTTTTTAACATTAAAATTTTCTCTCTTATATCTATCTATATCCATATATATAATATGACTATTTAAAAATAAAAAATAGTAACATTCAAATACAAAAAAAATTAAAAAATAGTACTATTCAAAAATAAAAAAATAGTACTCTTGAATATTATTATTTAAAAAAATAAAAGCAATAACATGGTCAACTAAAAAACGTAACATTGAATATTAATATTTTTGGAAAAAAATAGTAATATTCAACATTAACAATAACATGCTTATCAAAAAAATAGTAACATAGAAAAAAGTAGTAACATGCGCAAAAAAAAATAATAATAACATGAAAAAAAAATAGTAACATGCATAGTAATATTCAATATAAAATTAACCATAGTCTTCTCACAAAAAAAAATAATGGAATCTATAATTTCTAATTGAGATCTGAAACAAGCCCTACAACATGGATCTAGAAAATAAAGAACTTCTAGATAACATGAAATCAATTTCTGTGAACCTTGCATCAGATTTTTGGACAATGGCGTGGAGAACTTGTGGGCTAGTCAGAATATGTTGATTCATGCTTTTGTAAAAATGTATATAACTTTCTTCATTATCATGTTTCTTCCAAACCTTATCATCATAGTTGTCGTAATGGGGATTGTAGTATTGACAACTAGACTTTGTACGAAGTTATTGTAGCAAAGATTGTTAGGGGAGATGAATATGAAAAGACAAGTTAAAAAACATTTGGGACCACTGAAGTATTTGGTCGAAAAATAATCTGGGTGTGAAGATTTCTAAAAAAAAGTCACCGTATACGTGAGAGAGAGAGAGAGAGAGAGAGAGAGAGAGAGAGAGTAGTGATGTCAAAATTAAATTTGAATATTAGATTTTATGAAAAAATTCTTCCATTAAGTGTGAGTTAAGATAACTGTTTGAGAAACTGATTTATTGTTGAAAATTGCTTTTAAGTCATTAGAGGGGATTTTGGAGTTTTAAAAAATAGTAGACTTAACTACTTATTAGTAAAATCAAAAATGAATTTACTCTCAAATAAGTTTCCTTAGCGGACTAGACTCATTATAAGTCTCTTAAGGAGGACTCAGCATCAATATTCACTTTTTGGGTTAACCCTGGGCCAGAAAATTTAACCTGAATTCAATTCGGGCAATGCTCGAGTTGAGATGTCGGGTTTACGGGTTGAACCCAAACCCAACCCAAAATTATTAAATCTGGCTCAACCTGATTATAGACCTCAACCTGAAAATAAAAAAAATAAAAAATATATATATTAGACTAGGGTTTCAATTTCTTTCTCTAGTTGCCTCTTTTTGTCAATCGCCTAACCTTTCGTGATTAAGAGATAGTATTTTTTGAGTGTACACAACATTATTCTTGTTCGCTGGGCAATTGAATTGGTTTATTGCTTTCATTTGCGTAAAAATCATTGTATCTTATGAGACAGACTCTTAAATTTCCATAAGCACCAGTGTGGGGGTGAAATCACTCTTAAAGACATAGTATCAAACACTAACATTGATTTATAAAATTCAATCTCCGTTCCTGATCTGCAAATGAATGAGTTTTATTTATAACAGTTTTACGCGTTACTATTTATTCTTGTATGTTATTGTTTCATAGTTTATTATATAAATAGTTTTGTATGTTATCAAAAATTTATAATAAGTAATTTTATCATATTGTAGAAATCCACACCATTATATTTCCAACAAGAGGATCAAAGAAACTTTTGTATCATATGATCAACATTCATCCTCTATTGATTTTGTGATTAGTAATTGTCATTATATTTTCTGAACTTCTGGGTGGATTGGATGTAATCAAGTACCTTCACGAATGAATATGGGGTAAATATTTGAATGTTTATTCAAGTTAGGGAGAGGGTCTATTAAAAAGATATTATTGAATAACGCTTTTTAATATGAGATATGAATAAGAGCCTTCGAGAATACTAGTGTTTTCTAAATTATATGAAATCAGTACGCAAACAACGAATCACTGAATATTTGAACCCTAATATATAGGAAAAAGCAGAATATTTGATGGAAGAACTCCTTTTAAATAACCTATTATAATAGGAAAGTTTTATATCTTGAAATTAGGCTTTTGAAAACTTTGAATTTGGGATCTCACATATTAATAATTAAAACTTGTGGTCCAAAAAATCCTAACCATTTCATCCTTTGCCACATTTTGCATGTTACAAATTAGCTTGAGGGTCTTAATTTCTCTTCGACAAAGCTGGAATATTATGGTTTCCATACAAAAAAAATTAGGCCGAAGATAGTTCGTCAATCTCTTTCCAAAAGCCCGTGTAAGCCTCAGTAATGGGCCAGGCCTTTGATTGGTCAATGACCTGGGAGCCATCCAAAAACCCTAGGGCTGGGCCAATGGACCAGGCCGAGGGTGTAGTGAAAATGCTATTCTTCCTAAAAAGTAATTATTAAAAAATTTACAAATGAATGAGATAGTTGGATAAGAAGGTCCATCAAAAAATTTTAACAAAACAACGCAACCAAAGTTAACAGGAAAGCTATCACTTGGACATCTATCTATGGTTAGAAGTGTGAAAGTCCATTTCTTTTTCTTGGGTCTCAGAATTTTCAATTGTATTATTTCACCGAATTGATTTGTAGGGCAATTCAAAGAATGTTTGGCTATGCATGGGGGTTATCAATCAGTCATGTAATACTGGCTTCGAATTGTGTCCAGTTGTGTCGTGTTAAGAAATTTTCAATTCATGCATGGCTTATTTTATAGTCAAATTCGTACTGTATAACATAACATTTTTAAAATTGGTTTGATATATCAACCCCATTATAATCTAAATCTGTTAAGGACATATTCATACTCATTATTTCGTATCAATTACGTATTAAATTAAGTAGTCGTGTTTAAAGTTGTGGACCCTAATTTATACATGCAAATGTTAGGACTAAGACCCAGAGTGGAAACTCAAATTTTTGCTTTTACAATCGCCATTACA